ATTTCACACCTATAGAGAGGGTGGCTGGATAGTGAGTGGGTGGCACGGCTGTTACTCACACGATGCCAGTCTGCCAGGGCACCACCTTGGGCCCTGCAACCCACCCAGACCCCCCCCCCCCCCCCCCCCCCCCCCCCCCCGACGCCATGTTCCCCTTGCCCTGCAACACCAGTGCCCATCTGCTAGGACACGTTAACCGCTGGCGCTTGGGACTATTTAGCCTGGTGTAATTAGCCCCCAGACACCAACAGCCTGGTTTTAAACAGATGTGTGTGTATGTGTGTGTGTGTGTGTGGGGGGGGGGGGGGGGGGGGGGGGGGGGGGGGGCTCTAGCAAGGCGACTCAACACCACCAACAAATGCTTTATGAAGAAGAAAACAGGGGCTTGGGGGGGATGTGAAGAAAAGAAGCGACCTAGTTAAAGGAGTGATGCAACATGTTACAGCACAATGGGCAGTAATGATGACAACATCACTGCTCCGACTGTCCGATGCCATGGTCGAAACAGGATGAGCAGCAGAAATTTAATTAGGCTGTATCCATTTGCTGCAACGCCAAACAAGAATGAGGAGATGGATGCTTTAACAGTCCGACTGGAGCTGTTCCTAAGACCTAATGCGGTTTCCCTATTCAAGCATCCTTACTGGCTCTGACCTTTACCAGAGGACAGGAAGAGGTTACAGTGTACGTGCCCTTGAACCTCATGACTGTAATCACACATGACTATAACGGCGCTGACCTTTCCACGGTTCTCTCCTTCCCTCCTCACTGTCTTTACCTCCCCCTCCCCCCCACAGGGTCATTTGAGGGTCCAGACTCTTGTCAAGGCTGTCACTCTAGACAGCCCTCTCCATCTACCGCCCCCACTGTTGCCATGGCAATGGACGGCACTGCGCTCCGAGGACTGTGTGAGGGGGCAGAGGGAGCTGGTGGATGGATGAACGCTGCGGCATCTTTCCCTAACCTAGGTCAACCTGCCAGAGCTGGTGTAAGTAATGGGAGGGGATAAACGCTGGAGATGCTGCTTCAACACTAAATAAACTGGCAGGATCACAGTGGAGTGGAAAAAGCAAGACAAGAAAGAGGAAATACAGAGATAAAACAAAAGGCAGTACAAGAAATACTACCTGTTTTTGTTTTGTTTTGTTTTGTTTTGTTTTGTTTAAGCTCTCAGGCCAACATCTTACATTGGGATTTTTTTCTGCCTTTCTTTAAAACACAGAAACATGCACACACACTGGGAAATGTGACCCGGGGGCAGGCAGTGGAGCAGCGCACGTGTAGTACCACCGAGCAACCAGCCAGCATGAGTCACTGTGAACACCAGTCGACCCAGAGAGAACAATGGTAACCGGTGTGCGAGGTGTCTGTCAAGCATGCACACACTGGCACAGGATGGAGAGCAGCGGATGGAGCAACGCCTCTCTGCAGCACCGTCACACTGCCTTTTGCTTCATGGTTTCTTTTACATACCGTGGATGCATTTTTGCCCCAAAGTACAAAAATGGTCATTTTACCGAGACACGGAGGTCAAACAAACAAAGTTGTGGAAAAAAACGTATATTTAAACATCTGACATTCCTATATTTGTATGACTCTAGAAAACGTTTCACACAGTCAGAAACCTCCACACCCACCTGATAAACTCTCCAAAACAAACACCTGTCCATAACACACTAGGGCTGGTCAAAAAATAGAATTTTAATCACGATTACGATCTGAGTTTTGAACGATTATTAAAAACAAAACAAGCCGATTATTTGCTCCTCCCACTTGCGCTGCCCTGAGTTGCAAATGAAGCACTCCTCCCACAGTGTTGCCAACTTAGCGATTTTGATGCTATTTCTAGCAGCTTTTCAGAGCCCCTCCTTGACTTTTTAACTTAAAAGTACCTAGCGAACACCTCAGAAACATCTCTGGTAACCCTTAGCTACTTTCTGGATAACTGTCGTCGACGTTTCCTGCAGGTTAGCTAAACACTCTGCCTGCGCTCTGGACCGTCCTTCAGGACATTAGGAAAGGGAACGATGTAGTGATGTGTCAGTCGCTAAAGAAACGGCTCTCAGAGTCGGCTCTGTTGGATTAACCAGAGTGAGTGACACACACACACCGTACCTGCGGACTCCTGAGCCGCAAAAAACAGCTAAATGTGCGCGTGCAGCGCGCTAAACACACGTGTAGCTTGCCCCTAATTGCTGTGAGACCGGGTTGGGGGTTGGGGGGTGGGGGGTGCAGCTGTGGTTGGGACAATTATTACATTAACTGGTGGACTTGTACATAAATAGTTTATAAATAAGGTAGAAATAAGTTCCTCACGCTGATAAATAATAACTAATCTCTCTGAGGACACGGTGCTAGTGCACTCTCCTACAGCACCTTGACACGACTCAATAAATGTTATGCAACATTTTGTGAACATCAATTTATTTGCATTTATTTGTTATAAATGCCGCTGTATAATTGTTGCTGTCAGTATTTGCAAGATATTGGTATTTGGGTCTGTACTGGTTAGACTTAAATGAGTTAAACCAAGGTCTATAGCCCTTGGGTCATAGACTATGAGCTATAAGTATATTGGTCTTTTTATACAGGTGCTGGCCAGTAAATTAGAATATCATCAAAAGGTTGAAAATATTTCAGTAATTCCATTCAAAACGTGAAACTTGTACATTATATTCATGCAATGCACACAGACCAATGTATTTCCGATGTTTATTACGTTTAAATTTGATATTTATAGGTGACAACCAATGAAAACATCAAATCTGGTATCTCAGAAAATTAGAATATTCTAAAGGCCAATGAAAAAATGTTTGTTTCTCTAATGTTGGCCAACTGAAAAGAATGAACATGAAAAGAATGTGCATGTATAGCACTCAATACTTAGTCGGGGCTCCTTTTGCCTCAATAACTGCAGTAATGCGGCGTGGCATGGACTCGATCAGTCTGTGGCACTGCTCAGGTGTTATGAGAGCCCAGGTTGCTCTGATAGTCGTCTTCAGCTCCTCTGCATTGTTGGGTCTAGCGTATTGCATCCTCCGCTTCACAATACCCCATAGATTTTCTATGGGGTTATGGTCAGGCGAGTTTGCTGGCCAATCAAGGACAGGGATACCATGGTCCTTGAACCAGGTGCTGGTGGTTTTGGCACTGTGTGCAGGTGCCAAGTCCTGTTGAAAGATGAAGTCTGCATCCCCATAAAGTTGGTCAGCAGCAGGAAGCATGAAGTGCTCTAAAACTTCCTGGTAGACGGCTGCATTGACCCTGGACCTCAGGAAACAGAGTGGGCCAACACCGGCAGATGACATGGCACCCCACACCATCACTGACGGTGGAAACTTTACACTGGACCTCATGCAACGTGGATTCTGTGCTTCTCCGCTCTTCCTCCAGACTCTGGGTCCTTGATTTCCAAAGGAAATGCAGAACTTGCTTTCATCAGAAAACATAACTTTGGACCACTCAGCATCAGTCCAGTCCTTTTTGTCCTTGGCCCAGGCGAGACGCTTCTTGCGCTGTTTCTTGTTCAAGAGTGGCTTGACACACGGAATGCGACACCTGAATCCCATGTCTTTCATGAGTCTCCTCGTGGTGGTTCTTGAAGCGCTGACTCCAGCTGCAGTCCACTCTTTGTGGATCTCCCCCACATTTTTGAATGGGTTTGTCGTCACAATTCTCTGCAGGGTGCGGTTATCCCTAGAGCTTGTACACTTTTTTCTACCACATTTTTTCCGTCCCTTCGCCTGTCTGTTAATGTGCTTGGACACAGAGCTCTGCGAACAGCCAGCTTCTTTAGCAATCACCTTTTGTGTCTTGCCCTCCTTGTGCAAGGTGTCAATGATTGTCTTTTGGACAGCTGTTAAGTCAGAAGTCTTCCCCATGATTGTGGTGCCTTCAAAACAAGACTGAGGGACCTTTTAAAGGCCTTTGCAGGTGTTTTGAGTAAATCAGCTGATTAGAGTGGCAGCAGGTGTCTTCTATATTCAGCCTTTTCAGAATATTCTAATTTTTTGAGATACCAAATTTGGAGTTTTCATTAGTTGTCACTTATGAATATCAAATTTAAATGTAATGAACATTGGAAATACATTGGTCTGTGTGCATTGCATGAATATAATGTACAAGTTTCACGTTTTGAATGGAATTACTGAAATATTTTCAACCTTTTGATGATATTCTAATTTACTGGCCAGCACCTGTACTGGGAATCAGGAGTTATTTTAGTGATCATCTTGTTTCTTATTTTTGTCCTGATTGTGCCCTGAGCAATTTTATGACTGAATAAAAACAAATAAAATCAAGAAATTGAAAAATCGTCCTAAATGATTGTGATCTCAATTTCAGTCGCCATAATCGTGATTATTATTTTTGCCATAATCGAGCAGCCCTATAACACACTTCAGCTCCACCTGGCATTGAGCTGTGATTCTGATGAAGTTAAAACGAGAGCCTTGCTTTATGACTAAACCCTCACTGACTATATACCAACTAATACTATGACATTTATCTAAGGCCAAATGCAGAAGTGCACATGTGCACACACACACACTCACACACACACACACACACACACACACACGCGTGTACGCATGCACACACACACACACACACACTGTGCTACATAGTAAGGGAGCTAAGTTTAAGTTCCTGCCTAAGGACGTGCTACTATCCTCCTCTGAGTTCAAAGTAGAAGATATAAAGGCTAAATGGTGTTGCACTGGAAGATGTCAGAGTGGTGCACTCAGGTTGAGCCAAGGCACACACACAGAAAAGTTTTCTCTTAAAAATGGCTGGCACAGAACACCAACTAAGGCAGGGTTGAGTTTTCTATTCAATAAAGCAAACAGACAACGTATCGTGTTTTAGATCGTTGGGCCTTTTCAGTAAATAAACTGGTTTATTTACATAATGTGAGACCAAATTAGAATTGCAAAATTCCTGCAAGAAGATTCACCCCATTTTCTAAAAATATATACAAATTTACTGAGAACACCTCCTACCTGAAAGTTTGATCAGCAGCTCAGAAGCCACCTTTACGCTGATATCCTGGCTGAGTAAGCTGTTCTTAGCCACGGGGCTCTCCTCTCTTGGTTTCAGTGACCCTGGGTGCTCTAACGCTGCTGCAGTCGACCCATCCTGGCAGAAAGACGCGGGGAAGCTTGGCTGAATCTGGTTGTGAGACTGCGAGGACGGTCTGGGACTCAGTGCCTCCTCCACTTTGGGCTCTTCCTTCAGGTGGAAGGGAGACTTGAGTGTTTCCCTCTGGTTGGCTGCTGCAGGCATGAAGAAAGAGAAGATTAAAAGAATAAGAACGATCAAAAGATCACCAGCGATGCTCAAGTGAAGCTTATATGAGGCAGGGTGAAAGATACCACAAGTTAAACCCCGAAACAACGATTTGGACATTATCCATTCCGCTGTTTCCAAGGGAGATGGCAGCATATCATTTTGACTTTCGAGTGAAACATTAAAAAGTGACAAGTGCTACACACAAACAGTCCAAACTAGATGCTGAACAGCACATTAAAAAGCCAGCTAAAAAAAAACAAGGTCCACAGTGAGTTTTCACAGCCAAGCTACTGAAATAGATCCCCCCCCCCCACACACACACACACACACACACACACTTCAAACCACAAGTTTCTGCATTGTTAATCTTGCTACAATTTGTTCTACAAAACTTGAGTCTGGTTTTATGTCTGAGGTAATCACAACCCCCTTCGGACATGAAAAAAAATTAGCATTTCTGTAGCACGCGGTGGCAATCAGATGAACTTTTATGTGTCATCACTGCAGTGTGTTCAGCCTAGGTTCGGGAGTGAACGGTCACATGGGTCACTCTGGTCTCAAGTCATCTTTAAGAGAAACTGGGCCACATCTAATCTGCCTTAGATGAATAATTAATAATTAGACATGGAGCAACTTTCAATAGCTGCCAAGAAAAGAATAGCAGGCCACGAGCCTTTCTTTGTGCTGTTTAATGTGTTCCACTAATCTGTGTGTGACTTAGAAAACCCTAAAAGGCGTAAACATCTAGGAGACACTGAGAGAACAGTATGGCCGACAAGCGTAGGGCCTCTTCATGATACAGGTAGTCTAATCTTTGGTCTGTTAGTTAAAAGCAAAAAGGCAATGAATGCAACAGGAAGTGTACCTGTACTAGTACTACAGCGTTTCTGTGATCCAGTTACAATTGTAACTGCAATGTTGGACTAATTTAACAAAAACCTTGTAGCTTTGATACGTTTTTAAAAGAAAACAAGGCTATAATAAAGAACACTTGAAGCTGAATGTGGCGCGAGCAGATTTCTTTATTTTGATAATTAGCTGTAATTGTTGAGGGAAAGAAAATACTTTTTCACCTTCGAGTTATTTGATCTCACAGCAAAAGACATTTGTAATGTGTCAGTGAAAACATAACGGCCCTGCAGCCTGAAAGAAATTAGACTTTAGTTAAGCATCTGATAAGGAGCCGTGCTGATAAGACTACTTGGGTTTTAATAAACCTAACATTACTTTGAGTGGCCACTTTTTTAAAGGAATCTGAAAGATAATGTAGCTTGTGCCGACGTCGAGTCCACCCATCCCCCGAGACGACCTCTGACATTTTTACCATCTAAAACCAGAACGCATCCTCAGTCATTCTCAGCCACAGCTCTGGGCAAAAATATAAGAGACACAATCATTCTTGGGCAGACTGCTGTCCATTCTCCTCTGACCCCAGCAGAGATGTGCTCTGGTCCTTACCCTCACATCACACCTAACAACTCCAACCACCACAGGCCCGCCGCTCCCCCCCCGCCCGCACCATCAATCTGTGTCGACTCCGGCCTCTCTGATTAATGATGATCCATGCCGAAGGGGCCCGAGACAGAAAAAGCAGGGCAAGAAAAAGGGGACAGGTGCTGATGTTTTCACCCCTCTTGTGACGCCATGACGCCACAGTGCCACACCATGGCAGATTGACGCTGAGGTTCGAGAGGGCGTAATAAAGGAAGAAGGTTAGCGGTGAGCAAGAGGATGCAAAGAGAAAGGGGGTGGGTGACCTTCAAGTTCAGGGGCAGTGGCGCCGGGTAGCACACGGCACCAGCTGGAAATGTCACGCTGTCGGATGTCAGCGGGCAGGCTAAGTATAACCTGGTCAGCACCTGGAAGGACGTCCTCTAATTAGAAGCGTGTTGGGGCCATGTTGGATCAGAAAGGGACAGCCACACATGGCCAAAGCTTACAAACATTTACTCTAAAGCAGGCACACATATATTGATTTTTCTTCTGGAGAATCTTTGCATTCTGTTGCCAGATTTGACAATGCAGCGGCTGTGATGTACTCGAGATATACATACAGCTGCTGACAAAGACGCGCAACAAAAACTTTCGCAAGTCCATCCCGTTTGGCCTCAGGAGAACAAAAACAACTCTGGGACATCTATTCGCACAAAGTCGCACCACTTCGTGACCTTTTGGATCGTTGCTATAAATAGAGAGCATTTCCACTTGGAATCTATGTTACAGAGCCCAATGAATTATTTAGTAGCCTAATCCAACAGGCAAGTTTTTTTTTCATTATTCAAACAGGCTGATGGCTCAAGAACAATAAGCCAGAACACAGTACTAACAAGAAGTCCTACTGCGGCAGAATTCAGCCAGCAACACCAAGCTTACACTTTAGTCTTTTGTCTGTCAAAGTTTCACAATTGTCGTGGCATCCTGACCATCCGGTCCCTGGCAGATCATTTTGTGGAGCGAATACAGATCTGCAGACGGGAGAGAGAGACAGTCTGGGTGACTGAGCTTCTGTTCTGTGAGCTCCCTGGCAGGGTGCTTATGTGCTAACCAAGGCCAGTGTCAGCTCCCTGTGCACGATACTGTAAGGTAGCCTCTAGCTCAGGATGGACGATGCTATCAGTTTGTCTCCATGTTATCACACCCTTCTGACACCTGCCACCAACTGCTTCCACCACCATTCTCTTACTTGTTTCCCCCACACCACCACCACCACCACCACCCCACCTTGTCGTGCTCTTCTCTTGCGCCTCATCCGTCTCACTGCCAGACGCTTGTCCACTCCACCTCACCTTTCGCTCTGTGGCCAGGGCTGCCGTCAAATAACTTCATTAGCTTTCCACCTCTGTCACGCCAGCCTGCTCCCCTTCTAACAACTGGCTGCAGTTTTTTTTCCCAGAGAGGAAAAAAATGAAGGCAGAGGGCTACATGGGGCAGGTTGAGAGCCCGACAATAGCTGACAGAGTGCTGGACGCTGGACAGTGATACTGATGGCTGCGGTGGGGATGTATGGACCAGAGGTCGCACACGAAAAGCCTGCCTGCATCTGCTCATACAACTCTGGGAAGCAGAGCAACATCTAAAATGTTAAAGAAGGGGAAAAATAACTAATTTTGACAAAATAATAATAATAATAATAATAATAAGCTTGTGTGTTTACTAATAAACATGCAGAATTTAGTTGTAAAGCTGGTCAAAGTCAGATTGTTTATAGCTGGAATAATGTCTTGAAAACGGTGCAACAAAAACACTCCATCCATCTCCCGAGGTAATATTCTGCCTTTGCATAATATTACAGTAGTAAAGCAAGATGCACTCCTGGGAAAAAGATAAATAAGACAACTGCAGATGCATCATGACAGATGCAACACCTCCCACAACCCCCTGCATGCCAATTATTCACACCCAGCCAGGGTCAAGCTCGTTGCGCCTGTGTCACCGCAGCAGCGGGGGGTGGGGGGTGGGGGGGTGTTTGGAGGGCGTGCAGTGCCCACTGTCATTATTAACTCAGGGTCCACTGGGCACAGGGTAAGGGCTGTGCATGTCAAAGTGTCTCAGAGGCTTTCATCTCTGAATCAAAATGTGGATCACACTGGATGGTTGTGTATGCGTGCGAGGATAAAAATCAAAGTATCAGTAGAACACGCTATGGAAAGCAGGCAAGCCCAAAATCTGACATGCTTATGTCAGAGGTCATGAAGAGTTCAGTTTTTTTTATCTGCCTAGGGAGCTTGATGAAACCCCCTCTTACTTTGTCTCACTCTCTTGCTGTCACTTCTTCATTCCTCTCCAGCTTTTAAACATCTTCCTACCCCTCCCACCTCCTCCATGCTTATGTGCCTTGTGGGACTACGACAGAGACAGCAGTGTAAAAGCAGGAGGGATGAGGTGCTCATGCACACACTAAATTTGGGTTGGCAGGGAGGTCAAAGGAAATGGAGTCTAGAGGTCCCAGGAGGAACTTCCTCACCTCTGCCTCCATGGCAGCTGCAGCTCAAGGATCTAAAGCCTACTACTTCTCCACTTCTTATAAGGTGTGACTCCACCCTCCACCAAAGTGAGAATCTCATCAAAGCTGCAGCGTTTAATAAAAAAACAATTGTCACAAATTCGACAATTGCTCTTCCCACCTTTCATATGCTTCCTCACTCTCCTTGAATGACGTCCTAACAACGATGTCCATAACTTGACACTGGACTGACATTGCAAGGAGCCATCTTGGCTCCTCTGGGAGTCACCTGGGCTTGATAGTGCAGTCTGGGAGCAGATGAAACTGGCACCCAGGGGGCGTCCGCTGGAGAAGATCGTGTGAGAGTTAACTAAGCCGTCCCTCATCCCCGTGCATCCTGCAGGGGTCACAGGATGGTGCTCGGGGCGTTAATCACTTCAAATTATGAATTCCTTTTTAATTATGAATTATGCATAAATTTTTAATTAATCTAATGTTCCCAGGGTTTTTTTTTCCTCCCATCCTTGCTCAAGATCTCAATCTAATTACACAGCATTAAGCGGGAGAGTGGCAGTTGTAGCCTCGACCCTCGAGCTTGACCTTAGTCAACCTTTTTCCATCAATCTTGCCACTTTTGTTGGGCACATCTTTTGATCTTTTGCATTATGATGAAAAGCATCTAAACACATCCCAAACCTGGAGAGCCTGACCACAGCATAACTATGAAAGTATTTAGTTTTTTGCAACTCCTAACTGTCCAAAAACGACGTGGATTAAAGAACATTTAATTAATTATCAGCCAAGGGCAACTGGAAAACTTTTCTGTACTTTAAAGCCAACCCTTAATTCCATTTTCTGTTCAACTGCTCAGCAGAGTCAGACAAAAATGTGTCATAATTTTGTCCACCAAATAACACCTGCAAACACACAGAACTGTCAGCAGGAGGATGCTGCCTAGAGGTTACACTTTGTCAACTCCTCTGACAAGTGACGAGATGTAGGTGTAGAAAATTAATCCCTCAACATTCCATGCTGTAGTTCTTTTTTAAAACACAGAACAGTTTTATTACCTGTTTTCCCGCTACGTTTCGTTTCCGGTAATAAAACTGTTCTGTGTTTTAAAAAAGAACTACAGCATGGAATTAGAGATACGACACAGTAAGAACACACCTAAGACACTTCCTCAACACTCACTGCGGAGTTGCCTTTGAGCACATTTAACTGAGCTCTGGTCGAGCTGATCAGGGGCCAGCAGCAGCAACAGAGGAGTGAAGCTGGGCAGCTGTTTTTAGGTAAAATATATATATAATCATTTAAGTTTTGGCTTGATAAATACTCTTAAAATATTACAACTGGCTAAAAATAATTTAGAACTTCAAATGGCAGCATTTAAACAATCCTAACCAACAAATCTGACTGCATTGCATATAGTTATTATGGTAGTCGTTGATTTTGTGTCCTAATATTCTCGTGCAGGGATCTTGATAGCCTCAGCGCCGCTCTCTCGGTCCGCCAACCGGCGCCTCCTTTAGGCACAGACTCCACCCAGCGGATAACCGACCCTTTAAGTCAGTGTTGTTAAATCCTGATCTTGAAGAGCCACCATCTGGCTTATTCTAGAGGTTTCTCTGCTTCAACACACCTGATTTTTAGCAGTGCTGGTTAACAGGCTTCTGCAGAGCTTAATGCCCAGCTAAACAGGTAATTCACATTGAATCAGGTATGCTGGAGCAGGGAAACAACTAAAACATGCTGGATAGAGGCCCTGTATAAAGTGTAAAGCTGATCAGCTGGAAGTCCTGAAGTATTCTTAAGGAAGTCAGATTATTTAAAAGGCAAAAAGTCCACGACCCATCATTAGGGTTGGGCATCGTTTGATTTTGAACGATTCCAATTCCAGTTCCTTGTTTCGATTCCGGTTCCTATCGATTCCCGATTCTTTCAAGACAGGACATGTTTTAAATGAGCCAGCTAACCACAGGTCCTACTTGATGAAATAATCTTAACTTCAACATGAATTTTAACTCTATGAACAATAACATCACCTTCATTTAGACAAAATCATGTTTTGGAGAAAAAAAGAAAAAGACTTGCAGCACAATCAGTGTGTTTGTTTCTGACCACAACCAAAGTCTGGAAGAAGCCTCTGGGATGAGAGGCTAAATGACTCCAACATATCCAGAAACGTCCAGCTGTTTACAGCTAAAACTCTCAGGATGACTGAGAACTACACCTCCATGCTGCAGCAGCACTCAGTCAGAAAAGAAAGTGAAACTTAAATGTAGCTGCTGTCAGAAACAAGCTAACAGATTTTAAACAATAAAACTCTCAACAGAAATAGTTCAAAAAGGAAATTTCACAACTTTGTGTGTGATTTATTATTATTATTTTAATTACTGTGGCAGAAGCTGGTGTGGTCCACCACAGATGAGCTTCTCTAGCATGATGACTTTATTCTACAGGTTACTGTTCAGCCTTCTGACGCTCACGCTCCGTGTGTTTTTATTTCTGCAGTGAGACAAACTCACCTCACACCGTCCAGAGTTTGTTCTTTAAAGCTTCTATTAAATCCACCGTGTTGACGTATTTTAACAAGTTTCCTCTACGCTGCAGGAGTTAAAGTTTACATTATGGAGTGTGTCGGTGCTGCACACAGACAGCTGGTGTGATCAGCTCTGAAAAGCGTTGATCATAATTTGCAGATCAAGTCTATTTTTCACGGAGATCGGCTGTGGATTCCTCTTCCGGTAGGAATCGAAACTAGGAATCGAAAAAAAAGTTTGAACGATTCCGGGAAAAATGAACAGTTGGAACTGGTTCCTATCGATGCTCGATGCCTAACCCTACCCATCATCTCACTCGAGGGTATTATTCCATAAGGAAGGTTGATACCGAACCTGAGTAGAAGTGAAAACATGGATGACATCCTAAACATAAACAATAAAGCAGCTTAATGAAATTAGCCTGATTTACTAAACCCATGCAATGTAGTTTGGCTCATACTGTGTAAACTACTTGCACCGTATTTCCTCTTCTAAAGAACAGCTGCAGTCTAGTTGTATAGGTTTAAAAGAGGGCTGCACGATATTAGGAAAACCTGCAAAATGCGCTAACAGTGATTAATATTGCGATGACGATATTACTTGTGATAAAATAAAAACAGGAACAAAAATAATGAAAAACAAAGAAATTTCAAAAATGACAAAAAAAAATCAAAAATGAGAAAAGCAAAAGACGTGAGAAAAGGGAAAAAGAAAATCAACAAGAAAAGGCAATCAGTGGATCCCGGGAAAAGCAGAATCAGCAGAAAGAGTTGAACAAAGCTAACTTAGGTGTTTGCTAACCATCAAATTAAGTGTTGTTGCTAACTATCTAACCTATGAGAACCCACCCAACTGGCCAAATGGATGAAGAGCTCCATTTGATTTGTTAAAAAAACATTATGCTTCCGTTTGATTGACAGAATTCATCATGTGTAGCAAACATTTGAGCTGACCATTCATTGTGATATGCTAGTTGCTGCTTTTCAACTATTAGTTTCACCACGTTTTGGACTCAAAGTAACAAAGAAATAAATTTTTAGGAAATACCATCAGCTTTTTTGTAGCCTTGAAAGGAATACGATCACGCAAACAAAGAGAAGAATCCTGCATACCTGAAAGCTTCATTAGCAGGTCAGTGGCCGTTTTGGTAGTAATGTCAGGGCTGAAGAGGGAGGCTGTGGTCGGACCACTAGGACTCGATCTCACCCCGACTCCAGGTAGTCCAGGTAGGTCCAAGGAGTTGGCACTGCTAATGGTACGGTCCCTGCAGATGCTAAAGGGCGAGAGCACGGATAGATCTCTCTCCTGTGGCTCCTCCTTGATGTGGACATGATTAGAGTTAGCATCAACTGGTGGGGATGCTTGCTGCTGGGCTTCTGAGTGCAACGGAGAATGCTCTGCTGCTCTCAGGTCCGTGGTGCCGCTGTCACCCAACAGGGAGCCCTCGCCTTCTGTGTCGGTGGTGAGCTCCTCTTTCACCTTGACGTCTGTGCGGGGGAAGTGCTGGTGGCACCGCATGTGAAGCTTCAGGCTGAAGTGTCGGGAGGAGGTGAAGGGACAAAGTTCACACTGAAATGTCTCACCTCGATCTTGGTGCTGATGTACCTGAAAAAGGAGGACAGGCTCAAGTGACAAATTGTTGCTTTTCGCCCTTCGTCTACAGGAGGGAGAGATGGGTAACTTATGCTTTTTAATTTAGCTCTTTGTGCCAGCATCATCCTACGACTAACAACCTTCAATCACATAGAAAATGGTCAAAAGAAGCATGCACATCCTGTAATTTTGGCAAAGACATTTGGGAGGTAACACGTAGGGATGGGTACCGAATTCGGTACTTTTTAATGTACCGACCGAATTCCATAGAGCTCCGGACCCCACGTGACTCTCAGTTAGTAGACGCCATATTGGCAGGTAAAAGAAGCTAAACAAACACGGATCTAACCATGAACGTGAATGGGATCGGCTTGGATTTTACTTCGTCGGAATTTACTTCACACTTTAAAACCGAAGAAATTGTTTTATATAGTCAGAAATTAAATAGACTACACATCTCCGACCCTTATCGTTCCCCTGGGATACTTTTTAAAAATGCCAGAAGCTGTCGGAGCAGACTTCTTACCGGACCTGGCCGGGGAACCCCTCGGGATTCCCCCGGAGGAGCTGGCTCAGGTGGCTGGGGAGAGAGAAGTCTGGGCCTCTCAACGCTACTGCTCCCGCAACCCGACTCCGGATACGCGGATGAAAATGGATGGATGGATGGACAAATAACAGATTTACACGTAAGTAGTTTAAATAGAGTGCTGTGCTGTTTGAATGTATAAACTGAACACCAAGAGAAATCACTAGTTTGATTTTTTTCCGTGAATAAAATAAATATGTCAGGCAGGAGCGTCTCAGGATCTGTCTGAGAGCTGTCTCGGTGAGACAGATGATAGCAATCCAAAGTGCTTTTTATGTGTGATCTGACAATTGATCAACCATTGCTTAAAAATTAAACACAGCTTAGCCGGTTAATTGCTGTGATCATAAAACACGTAAACGGCAGCACGCAGAACTCACGAGGCAACGTTTTACGTGATGTTTACTTGCTGCTGTGAGTAATAAGACAGAAAAAGCCACGCCAAAATAAGTTTAGGAAGCCCACTCAGAATCGTAATAAAAGCATTTAAAATAAATACCATACACAGTTGAGGAAACGTTGGTTTAAGTGCCTGATATGAAGCGGTCGCTGCATAAGCGAAAACCTTTAATCTCACGATCCCACAGTTTCATTTTAGCCCGGTCACTAGCGCATTTTATTACAATGATCCAACGTTTGCGGCGCTCCGGATCTTGGGGAATCCTGTAGATGGCTCATTCCTTATGTCGTCCACGTCTGTTCTGGCATCCTGGGGCACAACAGGAATCTACCATATTTCCTGTCTGATTGAGTTTTCTGACAATAACTAATAGTCCAGCTGCCGGCTTCTACCTGCCAAGATGGCGCCGTTTCGATTTGAACTGTTGCATGCCGGGAGAAGTGACATCAACTCCCGGAGCTCTATAGTACCGACCGAGCACCGATTCACGTCATTTCAAACGGTGCCTCGTTTCGGTACCCGTCCTTCATAACGAGAACTTGCCAAGACAGCTGCGCATGCGCAAGTGTTATGTCGTCGCTCGCTGCGAACCAGTTGTAAACAGAGCAGCATGGTAGAAAGAACGCAGGCTAAAGCTTGGGTCCACTTCACTAAATGTGATGGGTAACTGGGTGATGATGAAACCAGCGACAACGGTCTAAGTGAGACATCCTCATCTTAATCTGCTCCAGTAGGTAAATATAATTAGCTTGATATGTTAGCTTCCGTTTCGCTAATGGTGCGTTTGCTTTCTCCTCGGAACTCCGAATTCCTGACTGGAAGAACATGAACGCGCTCTAAAGTTTGGCTTCACTTTACTAAATGCGACGGGTGAAGACGAAACCAGTGACAATGATCTAAGTGTGAGGCATCATCGTTTAAATCTGCTCCAGCAGCTAAATAAACTGTTTAAGATAACGTTAGCTTGGTATGTTGGCTTCCATTGCCACCGTTGTTATCAGCTAATGGTGCGTTCGCTTTCTTCTCGGAAATTCTAACTTCCCAGTAGGAAAAATCAAATGAAAAAAGGAATGAAGATACACAGTAAATTTAGTTCACAGTAAAGATGTTTGCTTCAGTTTAATTATCAGCTTATAAAAACAGTTGTATGTTATTTATCGTGATATTTATCAAATATTGTTATATATTGAGAAAAATATATATTTAATTATAAAAGAGAATTAAAATAATAAACACTCAAAAGTATCGAAATTTGGTACCGTTAAGTACCGGTATCGATTCGTGGGTACCGGGAATTAGTACCGGATCGATTCAAATGTCTAAGGTACCCATCCCTAGTAACACGCCTGGGTGTAAATACGAGCACAGCGCTACGAAAAAAGGAAAACATTTATTCCAACCTTCATGTGAGACTTGAGATTGTCTTTGCGAGCACAGCGGAAGGGACACAGTGGACACTGATGACTTTTTAAGCCCGTGTGAATGACCATGTGTCTCTTCCAGTAGCTCTTGCGTTTGATGACCAGTCCACACACAGGACACTGGAATGGTTTGCCACCATCCTCAGGAGAACCTGCAGGGAACCAGAAATAACACTGTATTCATAACAACGCATTAAGATTCAGAAACTACACTTGTGTCTTTATTATTCCAAAAATTTACCTTTTTTTTTTTACTGTTAAGAAATTCAAAACGTTTTTTCTAATAACAGAGTGTCTCAGATCTGTGAGAGATGGTGTCTGCACACCTAATGATGAAAGCTATCAAGGGAAAAGCCGGCTGGAAGCAACGCAACAATGAAAGCAGAAAACGAAGGCATGTTTGAGTATCTCGATTATTGTTGTTGGCTTCATATCCGGCATCTATTACTGTTTAATTGGTCTTATTAGAAAGAGGCATGATTGCATTACAAATTCTACAAGGGCCTGTCAGGATGGCTTCATAAGTATTCCAGAGCTGTTCCTTGAAAAACATCTGGTAATCAGTGTTTGGTGAAATTACTGCGCTCAGCCATTCATTGACCTGAGGTGTAAAACCTCGAGACTGCCTATTTGCAACAATAAACCGCCATCTGCGGCCCAACCTCTCTGAGCTCAGCAGAGACCGTGATGCAAAAGAAAAAATAAAAAGGCCCCTGTTCACACAAATTTAAGATGATTGAAGCAGAAATAAAACAGAGTGGGGAAATATTTGGGAGTTTGGTTTCTCTTTCCTGGTACTTAACAAATCTACGTCCTATGTAATCATAATTACAGATTTAAAACCAGAAGAGAGTTTGCTCTGCATGTCCAGAGTGCAGAACATGCTGTGTGACACGACTTTATAGTCCAGCTCACAAGGGATGACAATAAAACAAGACATGACAGTCGATAATCAAGGTCACATTTTTCAGGCTGGCGACTAAACAACTACCTGCATTTTTACAGTGCTGCTCGACCTTGACGACATGCTGGGTTAGTGCAGCCCCCCCCCCCCCCCCCCCCCCCACACACACACACACACACCTTTTTAACATGCAGATCACAGAATATTACATCGACTGCCTCATCTGTCTGAAGTCAATTTGATCCAGCCATTTTAGGTTTGGCGGGGTTGCGACACAATCCCTCAAAAGTGCCCATCAATATCTCTGAAAGCATTCAGCTCTCCCTTAAGACTACTTCGGGTCTGGAGCGGTCTCGTCCTGTGCACGAGTCAGTTCCGTGTGTGCACCATTGTTTGGGTTACATGTCTACATCTGAGTGCACGCCTGCCAAGTACACTGCATGGCCATTTGTCAGCAACACAGAGAGAAGCAGAGAGCGTAAGACGGAAAAAAAAAAGAGAGTAAGCACGCATTTGTATCCAGTCAGTGGAAAGTATGATGTGTTTGGCCTTAAGTCTGCTGTGCTGATGAGTGCAGAGGGCTCTGGTAAGTGGGGGCTGAAGCCAGGAGGAGGCTGCTGAGATGGATATGGACTCCAGGGCTCCCTGCGGCGCCGAGCACACACTGACGACCCCCTTTTGGCAGCATGCACACCCGAGCGCAAACGAACTGGTTTGGGGAGGCGGTGAGGTCTCAGTCAGAACCCCCCGTCGAGCCCACAGACCATTTCCCAGACTACGAGGCCAGCCAGGGCTGTTTTCTCTCGGTTATGCTCTCTGCTCAGCTGACAGCTAAGCTGAGGCTACTTGCTACTTTAGCGCCAATGAGGTGAGAACAAAACTATTACAAAACAACAGAAAACATGTCGTGGAAGTTCTGAGTTGTGCTCGTCTGATATTAACGTGTTGCTGTCACACAGTGGCACAGAAAACACCTCTGTCTTTCCAGAGTTGTGTTTACAGCGCATGCTAGTTCTAATAATCATAACCAACCATTTTAATCTGCACCATATTTATAAAATCAAAATATAAAGGGTTAATTAAATGAATAAGAATTTAATGCCGTTTTGTGATGACTAAAAGGGAGAAGATGTTGTTTTGAAGTTAAAATCAACCTAAACTGCATTAAATGTACAATTTTCTTAAATAATACTACATTACACCTTTAGGAGTGTGTCTTTAAGCTTAACAATAAAACAGATTACCTGCTTGGTTGTTTGGTTTGCCTCTGCCTTTTGGAGTAGACGGCAACAACAGTTCTAGGCTCTGGGTGGGTGTAGAGGGCGTGGATGCTTTCTGGTTCTTGTCCAAAAGGGGCTTCACATCCTCTTGGAGGACCCCTGCAGGAACCAAAGGGGAACCTTCCTTTTTCTCAGCCAGCAGGTTTCCTGCTGCTCTAGCTGCCACCTCCTTTAGCAAGGCAGCAGAAGAGGTCATCGACACAAGAGAGAGAAAGGAACTTGCTGAGGCTTGGTGGTCCGAAGCGGTGCTGGCCGTTGAAGAAGCTTGACTCCTTTCGCTGACTTTCTTGGAAAGCGCAGCAAGGGTAGAGCTCGCTGACTGCGGACTAAACGGAGAGTTGAAGGCATCAAAGCGCACAACATCGTCTCCTCGGACACCCCCACCTAAGGTGGGCACTGCAGAAGAGGCAGAGGTGGACGAGGAGGAGGATGTCGTTGAGGAGGAAGCAACGGCGTTCTTGTCTTGAAGTACGGCATTAGCTGCTGCTTTTAGCTTCTGGATTGCAGAGTCCGGGGATAAACTGGAGCCACAAGGCGTCGAGCAGGTGGCTGGTGGCCACTTATCTGCCACACCTGCCCACACAAAGCCACTACCGTTGGTGGGGGCAACAGAATTAAAGGGGTCGATGGGCTCCTGCTTAATGTTGGTGACTGAGGGTGCCAAGGAGGCCGGTGAAGCAGAGCCACTGTTGTTGTTGGCCAGTTTTCGGGCAAGAGCACTTAACTGTTGAGCATGATGGGAAGACGGAGAGAGGGTCAAAGGTGGAGCAAGAGCAATTGGAGGTGATTCTCCCCCAGCACTCCCCCTGGATGAGTGACCCAGGACATCTCCAGAGTCAAGTTTGAGCGAGCCAGCCTCTAGGAGGCGCCGTAGGTTGCTGCTGAGCGGTTTTCCCAGGGCTCGAGATGCTGCCTCGCCATAGAGCGATGATACCACAGACGATAGTGTGTCCTGGGCCGAGAATGTACCTCTATCCAGGCCAAGAAGTTCCAAAGAGGCACGATGGACGGGTGTGGGGCATCCCAGTGAGCTCTCACCTCCACAGGTATCATGATCCCCTGAGCCAACGCCAACTCCGGGTTGTTCTTCAGGAGAGGAGCCTCTGTGCAGGACGAGCTCATCCTGGGTGTCTCCGAAAGACGACGAGTCAGAGCGTGTGTCGGAGGCATTCCCAAACCAGCCTTCCTCCTCCACAGCACCACTATCAGATCCCCCTTCCTCGCTGGTGTCCGCATCTGAAAAAAGAAAATAAAAATCAAACATTTTAGCCAACAGCAACAGGCAAAGTCACTCTGAAGGTATTTTAACTAAAATAAAGTTGTAATGACTGAATTTGTAAATAAATACTCCGTTAATTATGTATTTGTGTAAAAGCAAAAAGGCTTTTATGAAGAAACTTAAGAGGATAATTTTCACCAACTGTAACACAACCTTGCAGAAAAAACCAGCCTGTTAAATACACTCCAGTGCTCACCGTTAAAAACAACCTCTTATATAATAAAAGCTTTCCAATGGCACATCTAAGATTTTTTGTGTAATTTAGTTCTCATCCATTTTTTTTAAAACACACTTTTTTCCCACCCTTGGTCTGGAAGAGCCTAGTAAAAGGGTTACCATGACAACGGGTCCTTCTGGGAGGCTAGACAGCAAAGATTAGGGTAATGGAGGTTACAGAACTAGATTAATATTCATGAGCCTGCAGATACCACCAGGGAACCAATAAGGATAGGGTTAAGGTCACCAAGGGTCATTAATATACACTTCATGTATCAATATTCATAAGCAAAACATTACAGCTTGCCAGACAAGGGCGAACAAAGAAAAGTGAATATTCCTGATACATATTAACAAACCTACACAAGAAAAAGTCAAAAGAAACCCAGCTAGGGTGAGGCTAAATGTCAAAACTGGCCCCTTTCTCTTTGGGTTACTGTACATAACCTCCAAAATATCTGTTACAAAGGAAGAAGCTGAGATTTTACAGAAATCTGATGCAAAAACAGTAAAAGAAATATTTTTTTTTTACATTTGAAACACAAACATACACATATCTGCACACACAAAAGCTGTCTTCACCCTCGTGATCCTAAGAGAGCCCTGGTGTGTTTGCTCTCCGTGCACAGGCAAAGGAAAAAAGGGTTGCCAGGCAACCTAGCCCAGCAACCTGTTGAGATTTTTAAAGTTGACTGACATATGGCCGGTGTGTCCACGAGGGTAACCAAAAATCACAACCCACAACGATCGCTGTACTCCTGTTGCAACAGATATCAAACGTGGCTCACATGCACACAGAGAAATGTTTTCATCTTCTCCAGCACAGCCTAAAGAAACACACACACATGCACGCATGACACACACAGAAAATGGGATTTGTTAGATTAGACTTAAACCCTCAATAATTCCACTTCCATTACTCCTCAACTCAATGGACAACATGGGGAGAGCTGAAAGCAATAAGCATATATTGCATGACCTTTCTACTTTTGTATGATTGTTATTGAGGTGAATTAGAACACACAATAAAAACCATCATCCACTCATTTCCCATGCTCCTTATAGTAGACCACAGTTCTACGCTTGAACCATGTGACGTAGTCATCAATGGCTGCAGTAGGGTTTGAGGGGGATCACTGAAGCGAGGTCTAAACTCATCCTTCCTAGGTTCCTTCTAAAACCCTAGAGTTAGGTACAGCTGAGCACAAAAGTGCACCAGTAGCCTTATTCCTGAACTCCACAACTACAACTTTATGTCACAGTTAAGCTTTAACTGCCCCCCTTGGGCAAAATGACATTTTCCAAGGGCAAGCCCAACCTCTAAGGAGGGACTCTATCGAAACTTTGAGCTCGTGACAGCTGCTAAAATCTATCAGCACACAGAGAAAAACATATTTAACAATATGATTTAAAGCAGTAGTTAAAAGTGTCTAAGTCTGCAAATCTTTAAAATTATGTGCTTCTGACTCATTTGAGAAATTTGGATTGCAGCCTAGCACCATCTTTCATGAACTGCATTTTGATCAATGTCACACCCAGCTTCCAACCCCCCCAAAACTGCATGTATTGGACAGACTATGCAACAAGCCTCATCCCACACAGCCTTCTGGACACAGGTATTCTTAGTTTTCAAAAGTTTCAAAAGTAGTTTTTAAAAGAGGTACGTGCTCATGAATGAAAGTGATGTCATGAGTGGAATGATAAATCCACATGTTTTAATGTGTGTTGTCACCTTTTAAGCTTTTAAAGTTGTATGTACTGATGCCACAAAATTAATCTTACATGTTTACAAATAACCTTCCAGATATACAGTTGAACTAGTGAGAACTCAATGTAAAAATAAGCTTTTCTTGTTCTTCCCCTTGTGTTCCTGTTGTAGTAAAGATGCACAATATATAATCGGGCACCAATGTCAGTATCAGCTGATGTTAGTCATTTTGTAACATATCAGTATCTGTCCATTAAGTACAACTGGGTCGATATTAACAACCAATATTTTTTTCCTATTTGTGGCAGTTTGTGTATCTGAGAAGGTGAGGGGGGTGTTGATGCATAATTGTTTAATAGAGACGAACAGAGAGATCAAATACATGTTAGGAGTGTGTATCGACAAGGATCTGGCGAGATATATAATATATTAGGGCTGGGAAATATGGCCTAAAATCAGTATTGCAGTATAATGAGGAGTTCTCCTTGATAACAGTAAATGGACAATAACTATATGTATGCGCAAAAACAAAGATTGTCCATTAGATGGGGCTGTCATGTGAATTAGGTAGGGTCATGCTGTCATGTGACTTGAGGTGGTATAGCTTCTTAAAGGGATATAAACGTCACCAACCCACACACTTTTTTCCCCTTTTGTATTACCGAATTTATTGGCATCATAAAATGATATCGTTAGAGTCAGAAAAATGCAAATTTTTCAATCTATTGCCCGGCCCCAATATATATATACACACATACATAAATACAGGAGAGAGAATGTGATTTATTGCGATTAAAAGTCAGACAATTTTTGCAATTTTTACACTGAACTTAATTGAAAAACTCAGATCAGATGCAAATCTAGTGTTATCACGAGATCGTATTGTTCTGTCAGAATGAAGGTAGTAAAAACTGCTGCCACCTAGCAGTCAGACTTTGAATTGCACCACACAAACAAACTAAATTAAATATTTGCATGTAAATCTTCTATTAAAAAAACTATACACTATTATTAAATATATTCAATATCTGAACATGAAATATTGCTATATTTCAGTGTACTGTTATTTTCTTTCATACCTACTTATATTCATGTAATTTTGGCAAATATTGGTTATGAGAGATAATGAAATTGGATAGTGAGAACTCAGTGAAGCCCTTTAGATTTTTTTTCTGCTGTACTGCAATATTGAACTTGATCACAAATTCACACTTGGCGAGGAACTAGGCCTGGGCGATAAATCGATTTAATGAATTAAATAGAATTTTTTGTTGCGGGCGATTTTAAAAAAGTAAATCGAATTTTTATGTAATAATGCCTTTTTGGCCCCCCAGAGCTTCCGTAACGTTAGGTTCACATAACCGCAACAACGTCACAGCACGCACACGAAACAGCAGGTGACTCCATGGCCACCGGTGAGAGTGGGAAGTTTGTTCCTAAGAAAGGAATTAAATCTTCCATTGTTTGGAACTGGTTTGGGTTTGCTGCGATGGACGTGGAGCTAGGAACTTTTATTCCAAGAGGGTGTTCATTTATTAATTATTCTTCTCATAAATGAGTATTACATTTGTCTTGCTTGTGATTAAATAATAAAAACAAAAATGGCTTTAAGGTGCCTTCCATTTGTACCTATTGCTATTTTTAATAATTGAGGGGGAGAGAGAATCGTAAAAAATCGTAAATAAAATAAAATAGGAGATTTCATTATTAGGCCGTATCGCCCAGCCCTACGAGAAACTAAGACATTCTGGTGTCTTTCCTGAGCTCATTGGCATGAAAAACTTCAAGTGTACAACTGATAGAAAAGTTATTTTAAAAAGTTACCATTTCAGTGGTGATGACCTTCTAATGTATTGTTTCTGACACCCAGGCAACTGTTCTGCCTCTGGAATGGTAGCTGGCTTGGTGACAGTAACTGTAACCCTCCCCATTCCCACCAACACCACCCCCAGTGATGGAGACATGGAGATACAGGCTGAGGCGCAAAGCGTCTGCCACTGAAAGGGGACCATTTAGCGGTGTAATGGCGGGGATGACTTGCATGTTGAGACAAACAGCTGCAGGGTGCTGTGCAGTCTGGGTCTGTTATCACTCACACACAGCTGATTCACTGGTGCAGCAGTGAAGAATTTTCTTTCTGGGTCACAAAAAAAAAAGAACCACTACATTATAGGTAAAAATACTTATAGTCCAAATAAATGAAAGGTCAAGCAGATTCGACACTGACCAGAATAATCGGTCTTGAACTTTAACAGGGATGTACAAATAAGTCAATGCAGCACTTTGGTAACTAATGTTAGAAACTCACAATAAAAGAAGTGTACGGTCGCAAACAAAAGCCATACGTTTGACTTTTCAGCTAGTGGCGTTGTCTACCAATTCCCCACAAAGTGCTTTCCACAATCGCCTTTCGTGAACTTGGCAACAAAATACTGACTAGTTTTTTATTTTATTTTTATTTTTTCCCCAAGTCAGGGGAAGGTAGAAAAACTGATGTAATCATACATTTTTTGTGACACTTGACTTTCAAAATGGTGATCTGAAGTAGATAGCTTTGGGTCGGCCAAACTTGTCCAGTCATCTTTTCAACGACACAGTACGCTACAATAAGATTTGCTTAATTTTAGCTAAACGCTCTTTGAAAATTAAAGGAGCAATATGTAAGAGTTCTACAGTAAAATAATCACAAAACAGTCTAACATGTAAATAATGTTGGAAGGAAGGTTACATGGAAAGAGATTTTATTCTCAGCCGGCTGGGGGGTTGTCAGTTTTTCTCCTTAAAAAAAGATGGATGTAGTAGTAACTGCAAATATCAGTGAGTTTGTGAGGTTGCCGTATCTCCGGCAAGCTAACTGCTGTGCCGATATTTCCAACTAAACACTGGAAGGCAAAATACTCCAGAATTGTGTAAAGAACTGAAGCCAGTAAACAAGATCGACCCAGGAATTTTTTGTACCCTTAAAAAGCAACGGTCGACTTTTGTTTTACTCTAATATCGGCTAAAGAAGACTAAAGGCTAACAGAGGGCTGG